CTGGCTACCCCCTCAGGCTTGTTACTTTGTCCAGAGAATGTCTGCAGCTGGTGGTGACGGGGTGAAAAGCATGACCACCCCCCTGGATTGCCCAGACCAGGCACACGGGGAGGGACTGGGCAGCCGTGTTCTCTGTTATAGGACATTAAGCACCTGTATCTCCTTGATTTTGCCTCTTGGCCCACAAAACATAAAATATTTACCATCTGGACCTTTACAGAAAGAGTTTGCTGATTCTTCATCTAGAGGTCACTGTGATTAGTGGTATAGTCAGGACCTAATTTCATATCTTGATTCCTGAATATATTCATTTAATTTAAAAAATTCTTAACAAGTGCCTACTCTGGTTGGTGCTATGCCAGAGTCTGAGGACACCGTGGCGAACAAAGACATTCCGAGTCCCTGCCAGTGGGAGCTTACGGTATAGCAGGGAAGAAAGATGTTGGAACTCCATTGTAAACATAGCATTTCAGTATTCTGTGTGCTGTGAAGAGATACAGCGATATTTATGGAGGTCCTGATTCACATCTGGAGGGGAGGGAAGGCTTCTTCTTGCAGTAATATCTAAGCTTAGCTGTGAAGGGTGAGTCAGGTTAGGTGGGCCAGGCGGAGGTAAGTCTTCCGGGCAGAGGTTGGTGAGTTTGGGACCAGTGACGAGGCCTCGTACCACTCTCAGGTCTTTCTTGGACCTGGGGAACGTAGGGCTCCTTTCCTGTGAGCTGACAGGTGGCAGTTGCAAAGCCAGGTCTATCTTCCTGTGTGTCGAGGTGGTGTCCACTGTCCCCTCTGCATCATTCCAGAGCCAGATGAAATCAGAGCTGGCAGCTGTGGCTTCGGAGTTCGGGCGTCTGACACGGTTTCTGGCCGAAGAGCAGGCAGGGCTGGAGCGGCGCCTCAGAGAGATGCACGAAGCCCAGCTGGGGCGCGCGGGAGCAGCGGCCAGCCGCCTGGCAGAGCAGGCCACCCAGCTGAGCCGCCTGCTGGCCGAGGCCCAGGAGCGCAGCCAGCAGGGGGGCCTGCGGCTGCTCCAGGTGAGCAGCGTCTCCTCCGTCTCCCCCAGGCCCCTGGTTCTGTCGGGCAGTGCTCACTAGGACACCTGTCCAGAGAAACCCACCTGATTTAACCTGAAGACCAAAGACGTTTTTTGAGGCTGGAAACAGAGTTAATGTCAAATGTGTGTGTGACGATGGTTGTACCCAATGAAAGGCAAGATTGGAGTTGTAGAGTGAGGGACTTAAATGAGAGTTGAGGAAAGAATTTTTGACAGTGACACCCCGAGAAAGGCAACCAAGTCAATACTGTGAAAATTCCATTATTGGGCTGAGCAGGTGAGAGGAGTCAGGTGTAGTACGGCACAGGGTGGTTAGAAGGGTGCATGTTTGCTGGGGGCCTTGAGGCTGCTGATTGTCCCTTCTTGTTCAAGTTCAGTCCTTCTGGCTGGACACTGGGGTAAGGAGCTGTCCCTGTGCAGCTGACACTTTTTTTGTCTCTTTCTCCCTCCCTCTTTTTGTTTCTGTTATTCCCAGGACATCAAGGAGACTTTCAATAGGTGTGTTTCCACTCTGTCCCCTTTGTGACCCAGTGGCATCTGGTTCCCCGTCCCTGCCTCTTTTGGGTGTCCCTCCCGTCCTTCCTTCCCCAGGACCTGAGTTTCTGCCTCCCGGACCCTCCCCTCTTCTCCTTCCCCCAGCTTCTGCTCTTCCCTCTGGGAGTATCATGGTCCCACCCCTGCCCGGTCCCCTTCCTCCAGGTGTGAAGAGGTACAGCTGCAGCCCCCAGAGGTCTGGTCCCCTGACCCGTGCCAACCCCATAGCCATGACTTCCTGACAGATGCCATCGTGAGGAAAATGAGCCGGATGTTCTGTCAGGCTGCGAGAGGTAGGGAGGTCACCTGTACGACCTTCCTTTGCCTTTCCCTTCACAGACCTGAGATTGGGTCCTGAGGGAAGTCGGGCCCTGGGGGAGGTGTGGGGAGTGGAGACGGAGCAGGATACAGGTGGGCTGCTCTGAGGTTTCCAGCCAGGAGTGGCTGGTCCTAGCTCAGCTAGGTTTTGTGGGTGGGTGGGGTGGCAAGAAGAGCCAGGGCCAGTGGGCAGACCTCCTGCCAGGTGTCCTGGGACCAGGAGTGAGGAGAGGTGGAGCCCATGGGAACCTGGGCCTGGCCTCCAGGGTGGCGTGGGCGTTCAGGGGAGCTGGACAGGGGCAGGTGGGGAGGACAGCAGGAAGGGCCGAGCCTGTGGAGTTGGCTGCTGATGGGGAACAGTCGTTCCAGCCCGGGCATATTTGTCCTCCCCCCCCAAGTGGACCTGACGCTGGACCCCGACACGGCTCACCCGGCCCTGATGCTGTCCCCTGACCGCCGGGGGGTCCGCCTGGCAGAGCGGCGGCAGGAGGTTGCTGACCACCCCAAGCGTTTCTCAGCCGACTGCTGCGTACTGGGGGCCCAGGGCTTCCGCTCCGGCCGGCACTACTGGGAGGTAGAGGTGGGCGGGCGGCGGGGCTGGGCGGTGGGCGCTGCCCGTGAGTCCACCCATCATAAGGAAAAGGTGGGCTCCGGGGGGTCCTCTGTGGGCAGCGGCGATGCCAGCTCCTCACGCCATCACCATCGCCGCCGCCGGCTCCACCTGCCCCAGCAGCCCCTGCTCCAGCGGGAAGTGTGGTGTGTGGGCACCAACGGCAAACGCTACCAGGCGCAGAGCTCGACGGAGCAGACGCTGCTGAGCCCCAGCGAGAAGCCTCGGCGCTTCGGCGTGTACTTGGACTATGAGGCTGGGCGCCTGGGCTTCTACAACGCAGAGACTCTGGCCCACGTGCACACCTTCTCCGCTGCCTTCCTGGGCGAGCGTGTCTTCCCTTTCTTCCGAGTGCTCTCCAAGGGCACCCGCATCAAGCTCTGCCCTTGATCAGCCTGCCACCCGCAGGGGCCCCTCTGGTCGGCACTAGGGGGACGGGTGGTGGTGGAAGGTGGCCCGTAAGTCTGGGGCTCAACGGCTCCTCCCGCTGTTTGTTACTGCGATGCTTCCCGCTGCCCTTTGACCCCAGGCCCCTGCTTCTCCTTCTAGGAGCCTAAAGAACCCTCCTGGCCTCCAGCTCGGCCTTCTCTCACCTCTGTCCAACAGGTCTGCATGGGTCCCTGATAGTGAGAACAGCTGCCTGGCCTTCCCCGTCTGCCCATCCCATCCCAAGGAAGGGATGCAGGGAGATTGTAATTTCATTCCCTAACTCCTTTCCCCACCCCTACTCAACAACCTCAGTGTCAGTGCTAGGGCTGGAGGGTTTGGGCAAGACTCACAACATCCCCATTCCAATTCCATCTTCTGATGCAGATTCTAGCTAAGGGATTTGGAAGCTGTTTTGGGGAGGCAGGCTGGGCCAAAGGGTAGAGCTGGGTAATAAAAAAAAAGTCTACTCTTCTGGGGAAGGAGGGATTCTAAATTTTTCCTTCCGTCCCCAATTTCTACCTCCATAGACCGGCCAGAATTTAGCTTCAGTGAGAGATCTGGAATGGTCGCCATGATTGAAACTACATACCATACATCACCCAATAAATTATTTTCTCCCCCTTCCCTTTTCCAGCACTCAATCTGGGAGCAAAGCTCTTTCCACCCTACACCCCTCCAGGTGTTTTCACTGCCATGCTCCTTTCCATTTTGTTCAAATGGAGTTGGCTTTTCCGTTTCCAGTCAGTCTCCATGCCTTTAGTTCCGTTTGGCAAGCCCTTGAGGGGGCACTTGGGGACAGGTTTGGGTCCCCAGGTGCAGAGCCTTGGGTATAATCTATTTTTCTAATAACCCCTTGCCTTGTCACTTGTCAGCTTCTGTCCTCTGCTTTGATGGCCGAGGTGAACTCATGTTCTTAGGGAAAAGGGAAGGTGGGTTGTGTTGTGGAAATAAAATGTTTATTTGCTTCTTTTGTGGAGTCCCTTCCTTTACATGAGCAGAAACAGGATGTAATTCAAGTGATTTCTTTGCCACAGTGAGCACACAACAGAGCTGGTAGTTCCGCTTCACGCCACCTTTCTGCACCTGTCACACCTGAATCAACAAAGACTGGATGCTGATCTCCCCCCCAACACTTTACCTAGTTTCTTTACTGGCAATGTTCAGAATTTACTTGAAGATAATTTGCCATTTCTTTTCTACCACTGCTCTGAGGCTCTAGGAATGAGGTTCCCCCAGGAATCTCATACCCATAGCTCACAAGCCCAGGTCTCTGGAACATACCTCCAAGGATATGTGTGACCAACACCTAGCTGAAACTCCAGTCAAGGGAGTAGGAACCAGGGCAAAGCGGCACATACACACCTGCAACATGCTGCAGCTGTTCAGCTGTCAGAGTACTGTGCTGGGAAAACTGCAGTTTTGAGGTCTCATAAGGCTATTACAGCACACCTGTACTGAGATTGGAAATTACAGGGCTAGTTTTACAGCCCACTTCTGACCTTCCACAAGGCAGCCATGCTTGTGACTAACAGGTGTAGGTTGAGAACTGTACGGAAGGGCCTATTTTAATTTATGAATACTCCCCAGGCCACTCAGAACTTTAAACAAGTTGTGGTTAAGCACCAATTCTTCTGGTGAGAGTTGGCTTGCCTTCAAGATTTTTTTTTTTAAAAAAAGAACCCACTCCATTTTGATCAAAGATCCAAGTTGATGGAGACTGGTCTCTATCAAAGAGGTTTCGAGGAGCCTGCTATTTCCAACTCGATGGCAATCACCTTGAAACAACCAGTCTTTTTCACTCAGCAAGTTTCCCTAGGCTTAAGGTAGGCTGACTGTACCGGAATGTAGGACACAGGGATGGGGCAAGTTTGGGAAAACTCCCTCCCATAAATGTGACATCTGACGCCACCGCAACCCTACAGAAAGTGGACACAGACTGACATTTCCCTTTCCCCTCTAGGCCTTCTTTACTTGGTCCCCAGGTTTCGCCCCCAGCCTCCAGGTTGCCAATACCTCAACTAATGGCTTCTTGACCTGTAAGCAACATAGATACGTATGGAGCCTTAAGTCAGAAAAAGTTTATTTCTAGAAACTCTGCCGTAAAATTTCTAGCGGGTGCCGATGGTCACCTGCCACACGCGTACCAGGTTGTCTGTGTAGCCAGCAAACAGAGTCTGCAGGAGAGAAAAAACAGTGATAGGCCCAGCCATGAACTCTGCAGCTCCACTAGTGCCAGTGAAGGCCTCATTTCTAAGAACTCCACTCTGCTTGCTAAAAGATAAAAGCAATTCCTTCTAAAGTTCCAGGATCATTAAAAAAAACACAACCAGCCCCACTTCTAACTACCAGATTGTAGGTGGTGATTATGTACCCCTAGAGGAAGCAGCAGCCAGTGAGTGATAAGGATCCAGACATTTCAGCTCTGGTCAAAATAAGCAAGGTACAAACTGAAGGGTGGCGACCACTGCCCTCCAAATCACAGCCATCGCCCTGGTGCGCAGCTGCCCAGACCATGCTAATCAACCCAGCTAATCCTTTTTGCCATTTCACTTTATGCCAAACACACTGATCTTGTGCCTGACAAACCAGACACACTAACAGCTGAGAGGAAAGGCTAGCCGGGCGTGGTGGCGCACGCCTGTCGTCCCAGCTACTCTCGAGGCTGAGGCGGGAGGATCACTGGAGCCCAGGAGTTGGAGGTTAGGGTGACTTACGATCAAGCCACCCCACTATACTCCAGACTTGGCAACAGAAAGCCCCCCATCTCAAAACAGAAGCAAAAAATAAAAAGGAAGCAGCGACTTACCTGGCCATCAGCAGACCAGGCCAGAGAGGTGCACTGGGGGGGCTCTGCCTTGCTGCTGGTGCTGATGACCTCCTGCTTCAGCTCGTCCACGATTATCTTGCCCTCCAAGTCCTGGGGACAGGGCGACACCAACAAAAGCACCCTTCACGCTTCCATCCACCAGAGGTTCTCCCTCAAAGCCCCGTCATAACTCAGTTTCTCAGTGGGACGATTTTCCCCCAGGGGACGTGTGGCCGTGCCGGCACACGTGCATTTTTAGTTGCTCCTGCCGGGGAGGGAAGGATGGCTTCTAGTGGGCAAATGCTGGAGACGCTGCCAGACACCCTGAAATGCACAAGGCAGCACCCCACTGCAAAGCATCACCCAGACCGAATGTCAGTTTATGCTGAGGGCGAGTAAGCTGCTATACAAGCCATCCCACCACCGCAAATCCCAATCCTGGGAAATCTGAGCCTTGCTGGGTCTCTGCTGACAGTGAGACGGTTAGCCACTTGTTCAGGAGCTCGGCTCCCCCCGGCTGGGGGCCAGGGGCACCCGCAGCCATCGCCACACTGCCAGGCTCACCGTGTGCACTGGGCACCCAGCCGGAGCCACAGCCCACACTCACCCAGATTTTGATGCTGGGGCCTGTGGCGGCACAGAGCCAGTAGCGGTTGGGGCTGAAGCACAGGGCGTTGATGATGTCCCCACCATCCAGTGTGTACAGGTGCTTGCCTTCGTTGAGGTCCCACAGCATGGCCTGGCCGTCCTGGGCAGACAGGTGAGGTGAGTCAGGGCAGCGCGACCTCTTCCAGATGTTAATCCCACCCGTCTCTAGACTTCGGTCAGAGTCCATCCTTCACGCTTTCTCCCAGTACCCCGGGCCTCCCGAAAGCTAATGACTCAGAGGACCAATTATTTATTTCTATATGCCTTTCCTTTAATGTGGAACACCACACCGACCCCATCAAGAGCCACTGACGAGGTATAAATAAATTACTATGGTCAGTTCCAAAAACAGGATCCCACTCTCACCAATTGCTCCAAGAAACCCAACTTTATAGAGAACAATCCTTTTCTTTTAAACAGCATGCCTTTCGATACATCGTTTTCAGAAACATACTCTTGGAGTGCTATCTCGCTATCCTCCTACATCAATCCAGCTAACCTTTAACTGTCATTTCATTTCACGTTAAAGACGCTGGTTAAGCATTCTTCCCACGATACTCTCTCTCACCGAGTAAGAGACTTTTGGCCCCAGAATACCTTGCCTCCAGAAGCACAGAGTGATCCATCCGGCGAGACAGTCACCGTGTTCAGATAGCCCGTGTGGCCGATGTGATTGGTCTTCAGCTTGCAGTTAGCCAAGTTCCACACCTACACAGATGGGTGGGTTGACGGGTGAGGCACCCAGCTCTGGACTGACTAGGGCCAGGAGAGTTCAGGCCCAACAAAAGAGGTGGCACCTTGTTTTAAAAAGCAAACTCCTTTGGCCGGGTGTGGTGGCTCACGCCTGTCATCCTAGCACTCTGGGAGGCTGAGGCAGGCGGATGGCTCGTGGTCAGGAGTTTGAAACCAGCCTGAGCAAGAGCGAGATGCCGTCTCTACCACAAATAGAAAGAAATTAATTGGCGAACTAATATGTATAGAAAAAATTAGCCGGGCATGGTGGTATATGCCGGTGGTCCCAGCTACTCGGGAGGCTGAGGCAGAAGGATCACTGGAGCCCAGGAGTTGGAGGTTGCTGTGAGCGAGGCTGATGCCACGGCACTCACTCTAGCCTAGGCAACAAAGTGAGACTCTGTCCCAAAAAATAAATAAATATAAAAAGCAAACTCCTGGATAGAGTACCCATTTATCATCCCAACAGTAATAAGAAAAGGTTAAAAACCTGTCTTGAACCACTCAAGGGCAGCTGAGAATAAGAAGGTACCAAATGCTGTGTGCTGACTTTAAAAGAACTAATTAGCTACTTCAGATCGTAAAACAGCAAGAGGAAAAACCAACTGAGAGAATCCACAAAAACCTCTACAGCTGCACTCTGTCGAGGAGCACACTCTGGCCGTAAGGGCCTGTGCCGTGGCCCATAGCTCACCTTGACCAGCTTGTCCCAGCCACAGGAAACGATGATGGGGTTGCTGCTGTTGGGCGAGAAGCGGACACAAGACACCCACTCCGAGTGGCTCTCATCCTAGAGGACGGAAAGGAAAGGAGGTCAGGGAAGACATCCTGCCTCGTGAGACCCCAGGCCCCCACCCCTCCCTTCAGTGGAAGGGGTGTTGGCATCCTTGGAGCCCGAACCTTCGGGCTTAAGGTCTCTTTCCACTCCTGACAAGACCTTTAAAGTCACCACATTAAGACAAAGGCTAAGAAAGCAGGCGGGAGAAAACCCTGGGTGCGCACTGTCTGCCACGCCCTCACTTTACCTGGACAGTGTACTTGCACACGCCCAGAGTGTTCCACAGCTTGATGGTTTTGTCTCGGGACCCAGAGACAATCTGCCGGTTGTCAGAGGAGAAGGCCACGCTCAGCACGTCCTTGGTGTGCCCCACGAACCGCCGCGTGGTGGTGCCCCTGCGAGGGAGGGGGCGATCACTCTCCAGACAGACTCTGCAAATGCTCGCCCAGCCACACTGCTTCCCGGCCCAGTCCCCGGCCGCTGCACCTCCCACCAAACCCCGGGGAGCGGCTCTGATCACAGCAAGCCCTCGGCTAAGTGCACACATGCCAGAGAATCCCTTCAGAATTGCAGGACATGTCCTCACTCCCACGTGGGGGTTGGAACAGCAGAGGAAAAACCAACTGAGAGAATCCGAAAACCTCTACAGCTGCAGACTCTGTCGAGGAGCACACTCTGGCCGTAAGGGCCTGCGTGCCGTGGCCCAAAGCTCACCTTGCCAGCTTGTCCCAGCCACAGGAAACGATTGATGGGGTTGCTGCTTTGGGCGAGAAGCGGACACAAGACACCCATCCGAGTGGCTCTCATCCTAGAGCGACAGAAAGGAAAGGAGTCAGGGGGAAGACATCCTGCCTCGTGAGACCCCAAGCCCCCCACCCCTCCCTTCAGTGGAAGGGTGTTGGCATCTTGGAGCCCGAACCTTCGGCTTAAGGTCTTCTTCCATCCTGACAAGACCTTTAAAGTCCACGACTCATAGACAAAGGCTAGAGAAAACGGCGGAGAAAACCCTGGGTGCGCACTGTTGCCACGCCTCACTTTACTGGACAGTGTACTTGCACACGCCCAGAGTGTTCCACAGCTTGATGGTTTTGTCTCGGGACCAGAGACAATCTGCGCTTGTCAGAGGAGAAGGCCACGCGCTCGCACGTCCTTGGTGTGCCCCACGAACGCCGCGTGTGGTGCCCCTGCGAGGAGAGGCGATCACTCTCCAGACAGGACTCTGCAAATGCTCGCCCAGCCACACGCCTTCCCGGCCAGTCCCCGTCTGCTGCACCTCCCACCAAACCCGGGGCGCGCTCTGATCACAGCAAGCCCTCGGCTAAGTGCACACATGCCAGAGAATCCCTTCAGAATTGCAGGACATGTCCTCACTCCCACGTGGGGGTTGGCTGACAATGTCGTCCATCATCACCAGGACCCTCTATTCCGCCTGCCAACTACTATCCAGGACAGGGCTTTCCAGATAAAACACTCGAGAGCAAGTGCTGCCAACTCCAAACTGCTGGCCACCTGGCCAAAATTCCAGCCAGACCACCCCCTCCGCAACTCTGACGTAACTCAACTCAAGCACCAGGAGGTGAGGAACCAGGCACAACCGTCTTCTCCGGTACTCTGCTTACAGCTCCAGATGGGCCTGAGTCCCCTGGAACTGCCCCCCACCTCATCTCCGCCCAGCTTTCTCCCAAGCCTCCCCCCCCCAGCTAGGCGAGCACGCTACTTGCGTTGTGAGATCCCAGAGGCGCAGGTCCCATCCCAGGAGCCTGAGAGCGCAAACTGGCCATCCGAGGAGATGACCACGTCACTGACGAAATGGGAGTGACCCCGCAGAGCACGCTGCGGGATGCCGTAGTTGGTCTCGTCTCTGGTCAGCTTCCACATGATGATGGTCTTATCTAAGGAGAGGTGAAACAGAGAAGGAAAACGAGTGAGGAACTCTGCAGCCGATGCGCTAACCTACTGGGTAATTCAGGATGTCTCAAGGTTGCAGTGGTTGGGGTAACAGGATGACAAATTAAAGACACATAAAAGGCCGGACACGGTGCTCACACCTGATCAATCCTAGCCTCTGGGAGCGGAAGGGCGGACTTGCTCGAGGTCAGGACGGTTCGAAAAGCCAGCCTGATCAAGAGCACAGGAACTCTGTCTCTACTATAAAAGAAATAAATTAATTGGCCACTAATAGTATATATAAAAGAATTAGCCGGCATGGTGGCGCAGATGGCCTTGTCGTCCAGCTACTCGGCGAGCTGAGAGCAGAGGAGCTTTGAGCCCAGGAGTTTGACGGTTGCTCGGTGAGCGCGAGTGTGAGGTGCCACGAGCACTCATCTAGCCGGGGCAACAAAGGTGAGACTTCTGTCTCCCAAAAAAAAAAAAAAAAAAAAAAGACACATAAAAGAGAACAAGGAGGATAAATAGCATTTGATTAGGCCAGAGCTGAGTGCCCCCTACCGGAATAAAATCACATGGTACAGCTAGCCATCACCCTGATAATTTAACTCAGGCGCCCCAAGATCATGGCAACCTTTCCTGAGATTCAGAGGAACTGAACCATCTTTTCTCAAATTCAGAAACACAGCTGTTTTGCTGTTGATTACCTAGGGGCCTCCTGTGACGACAGAAAATCGCAATTAAACACAGCTGCCAGTGTGAGGCTGTATTTAACTCGGGGCTAGTTTTAAGCCCAGGGTCTCGTGGAAGCAAGGCCGACACACATCTCTGTAACTTTACTCTTGAAATCATATTTCCCAAGTTGCATAGAAAAATAATAAAAAAAAAAAAGCAACGTTTTCCCGTTCACGTTAGAAACTATGTGTCTCGTTTTCAAAGTTTTATATCAAAAAACCCCATGGGCCTCAGGCTGAACAAATTTTTGTTATTTTTATTTTTTTTTTGCAACGGTGGCAGTCAGTGCTGCAAAAGCCACTTTCGGCAGGACCACAGGACTGGATGTTCGGCTGAAGGGACACGTTGCGCGGCGCTCCAGCTTAGGACTGGAGCCAAACGACCTCCCTGGCGTCAGACAATTCGTAAATAGCGTGGGGGCGAAAGAATGGAAGGCACGAGAAGCCTCCGAACGCACTCGCGGCACACGGGGGGACGAGGGTGCAAAGGACGGCCAGGAGGCACGAGTCGGGAGCGCCCGGGGCACCCCGCGTCCCACCGGCGGGAACAGGCGCGGCAGCTCAGAAACAGCCTCTGGATTTCAGCACGGGCTCTCAGATGGCATGTTGGGGTCATCACCGCTCCGCCCGCCCCCGGTTCCCCGCAGACGCCCAGCCACACTGCGGGGAGGCCGGCAGGAGGCCCACACGCAGGGGTCGGCCAGGCCCGGCCACGCGTGCGGCACGCGCAACCCCCAGCGCCCAACCCGGTCCCCGCGCCCCGGCCCCGCACTACCTCGAGAAGCGGACAGTATCATGTCCGGGAACTGCGGGGTCGTAGCGATCTGGGTGACCCAGCCGTTGTGGCCCTTGAGGGTGCCACGAAGGGTCATCTGCTCAGTCATGGCG